CCAAGACTCGAACATTGATCTTCTAGATTCCGCCTGTGTCTTTACATCAAATATTGAAGCATTGTCACTGAAATCAATTCTCTTTTGATTGGGTAGGTGAAATGGCAATCTCTGAACAAGGTGGTATCTGCAATCAACATTGAATCCAAAATTCTTCAAACTGCTTCACATGCAGAGACATACCTGTAAGAAATAAGCATTGAATTTTATAATAGGTCAAAAAATAAGGATGCATAAATATTACAGAAAACATTTTAATATGAATTGAAGTACCTGCAATCGTAAAACATTTTAATATGAATTCAAATTCAAAATTTTAAAATTCAAATTTTGAAATGCGCCGAAACTTATTTTGGCCAAGTCAACTATCCTCGAGTAAGAGACATGTTCTATTCCTAGGGCCTTTATCTTTAAACGCATATTACCCTATAATATCGGCATGATAAAGATAAAGTATGATCAATTTATTAATCATGAAATACTAATCAATACAAAGTGTTTATCTGATAAAATATATTGTCTTGAGGACACCTACATACTAACATGTTTTTAATATCATGAGTCTATATATTTTAAATTTTATTACGATAGTATATACTACAATACTAATAAAAGTGTATTCTATATTTGTACATCTAAATTGCATAGTCAAGTTTTTTATTATTATTTTATTTAAAATTTTAAGCATTCCTTAACTTTAAATTTCATCAATCGATATAAACTTTGAATTTTTTTAAATTTATGTGTATGGTAAATTTTTGCAAGCTTGGTTTAGCTTTCTAATCATAAAATTATAGTTTACAAAAAAAATTATAAGAAATAAATATATGTCAAAATCCTAAGTTAATCCTTTCTTAAACCATAACAATATAAACACTTGGGTTTGTTTGGGAGTTTGGAGAGGAAGTGAAGGAAGGAGATCCAAGGGGGAGGGAGGGGAAGGAAGGGAAGGAAATTGAAGAATATTCTCTTCCCCTGTTTGGGAGTTAAAAAAATGGTAAGGGAGAAAAATAGAGGGTTAGTAAGATAATTTTACCATTGTACCCAATTTTTAAAATAAATATAATTATTAAATTTTACAAATTAATTTAAAATTTCTAACAAAACTATTTTTGTACTTTTCACAATACTAAAAAAGATTATATTTTCGACAAAATTTCTATGTTGCAAATGACCAAAATTTCGTCACAAAATTATTTTTTCGTCAGAATATTTTTCGTCGAAAAGCGACGAAATTTGTTCTCCCATAAAAATTTTCACAAAAATAAACTTTCTATCAAAATTTAGTTTTCATCAAAATTTTTGACGAAAATGATTTCCTCCATAAAATGTTTTAAACAAAAAAAGAATTTCGTCAAAAAATTTGACGGAATATTTTCTGTTCAAAATTTCGATGGAAATGTGTTCTCACAAAAATTTCGATGAAAATTGTTTTGTCAAAAATTTTGAGGGAAATGTTTCATTCGAAACTTTTGATGAAATTTAGATTCTATAAAGAATTTTCACAAAATATTTTTTCCGACAAAATTTTTTATCAAAATATTTTTCGTAAAAATTTTTTGCGAAAATATTTTCTGTCAAAAATTTTTGACATAAATGTGTTCTGATGAAAATGTGTTTTATTAAGAAACTTGACGGAAATATTTTGCGTCGAAAATTTTCGATGGAAAAGAGTTTCATTAAAAATTTTGACAGAAATTTTTTTTGTCAGAAAATTTAACCAAAATATTTTTGTCCACAACTTTCGAAAAAAAAAATTTCCGTAAATTTTTTTTGGTAGAAATGTGTTTCGTTGAAAATTGTGATGGAAATATTTTTTGTTAAAAATTTCGATGAATATTTTTTTTGTTAAATATTTTGACGAAATTTAGATTTCGTAAAAAATTTGACAAAAAAAAATTTCTTTCAAATTTTTTTATAAAAATTTTTTTAGTCATAATTTTGAAGGAAATATTTTTCGTCGAATATTTTTGCGAAAAATTTTGTTGAAAATGTTTTCTGTAAAAAAATTTGACGTAATTGTTTTACGTCGAAACTTTTCGATGTAAATGTGTTTCGTCAAAATTTTGGATTAAAATATTTTCGTTGAAAGTTTTGACGAAATTTAGATTCTATCAATAATTTTGACTGAATTTTTTTTTCGTAAAAAATTTATGTCACTGATTATGGCAAAATCTGGTTCGTCTTTAGTTTTGACGGAAATTTTTTGACGAATATGATTTTCATCAAAAATTTCAGCACTATTTTTTAGAAAATATTTTTCGTTGATAAATTCTGTTGGTATTTGAGACTTTTCTAATAATGTCACTTTTAAAAATAATTCACATTTATGTAGTTTTCACATTTTAATGCTAAGAGTAGATAAGTAATTTTTAATATTTTTCCCTTCAAACCCTCCAATTTGGGGGAACTTTAATTTTAAGAAGAATGAGAATTTGGGAGGGTTTGGTAAAAATCTCTAATTTCTTCCCCTCATTTTTTTTTAAACTCACAAACAAGGGAAGGGCTTTCTAAAACCCTTGATTTCCTTTCCTTCCCCTCCTGAAATCAACTCTCAAACAAAGCCTTTATATTAAATCACATTTTCATTATAAATTGTTATTTTGAACAAATACTTTTCATTATTTATAATTTGAATTTCACGTGAATGAACTTTTATATTAATCTCATATTTTATGTTCATAGGATATAATAATAATAATAATAATTATTTTATAATAATAATAATAATAATAATAATAATAATAGTGGTGATGGTTGTTCCGTAAGGATTAAAAAAAACTCTATTATATATAGGCTCCATAATTAGGTTGCATCGACGTCATTAATATATCACCATATATCAACAAAGCTATTCTATAAGAGGAGGGATATTCTTACTACCAATATCTTTTACTACTAACTCACTACCTATCTAATAATTATTGGATCAACATTTTCTCTTTTTTCAAATTTTTTTTAGCATTCTCTCTTTAATTCGATGGTGATTAGATAGGTAATAAATTAATAATAGAAAATTTTGTCAGTAAAAATATCCTTCCTCATTTTATGATGGTTAAAAAGATTGCAATAACATGTATAAGAGAGAAAGAGAGTAATAAGTAATACGGATATATTTTTTCTTATGTTGTAGGAAAAAAATTACCTCATGTTGTAAAAATAAAAGTATAAGTGGGACCTACAAGTAAGAGGAGAGAGAAAAAAGAATAGTGGAACCCAACCTCTTTTTGTGTGTGTAGAAAAGTTATTTATCTCATGTAAAATGAGATAAACATAACCCTAAATAATAACCACGCCATTGCATCTAGTGACATCCACAGTAATATAATTTGTGGGAGATATAGCAACTTATATAATAATCTTGTGGGAGATACCAGCTTAAAATGGTCAACTTATAATATGATTTGCATTGGTTTTAAAAAAAAATTGTAATATATTTGTTTTGATCTTAAAAATATATTTCATTAAAATATATCTGATTTTTACATATAATTATAGAAATCAGTAAAATAAGTTAATATGAAAAAAAAATACCAATCAAACGAGTTTTTTTCATTTTTTTTGTTTTGCAAACATGTTCTGAGAATAAATTTACCAAGCAGATTTTTTTGTTCTTTAATTTTTAAAACTCTTTTCAAAACAAATTATTAAATGGATTCTCTTCTTTTATTCTGAAAAATAATTTTTATTAACTATTCTACAAAATTATTTTAAAAACAAAAGAATCAAAACACTCAGACTCAATAATTCTCCTGCAACGTAAGATTCAGTTAACCAGCAAATTATCGCTGATCTTGAACTTGATTTGATAGTTGATATTCAATCACTCTGTCAGAAGCTACAGTCTGTATAATTTGATTAATATACTGAGTAACCAGACAACAAAAACATAAGTCTCTTCAAACAAGCAATTGTGTCTCGAGTGTACCTACTCGTTGGATAATGAAAGGATGGGGGAATCAATTAAAGGCAGGATCTGTTTACAAACTTTTTTGAATTTTTTTATAAATTACACTATATTCTTCTGGGAGAACATAATATAATTTGTAAAAGTTTGTATTCTCCCGAAAAAATATAGTATAGTTTGTAAGAGTTTGTAAACAAAAAAATTTGTAAATATAATCTGCCCCATCAATTAATGCTTCTTTTGAAATTTAAAATAGACCTATAGACTCATGATTCTTTTAAAATTTAAAATAAACCCATATTAATTCTTTTGAAAGACTAACGTAAATCTTCTTCGAATTTAAGAGAGATTACAATTTTAATTAACTAAATCTATTGTGAATTTCAGATGACTACAAATCATTTTTTATTTTTATTTTGTAAAGGATTAAAATAGAACTCGATTTTTGTTGAGGACTTTTGTTCTTGATTAATATATCAAAACTTACGATAAGTCATCCGCATTAAAACAAATGCAGAGATATCTTTAATGAATGACAGAGCTGAGCTAAAATTCAGACTTATATGGTCAACTCAACAACTTAGAACGCACTTGCCTTCCGTAATTTAACCTCTTTAGGTTTGATTATGTCGAGATATATAGTCTCATCCTTTGAATTAACTTTTGGGGTAGTGTATCTCAAGGTTCTTTACATGTTATCAGAGCTTGAGCTCTCACCGCCTCCCACTTTAAAGTGAAATTAAAAATAAAAAGTACAAAAAGGTAAATCAAAAATTGGAATTGAGCCTGTGCATAATCCACGTTTCAAGCCCAGTGGACTCTCGTATGAGGGGGCGTGTTGAGATATATAATCTCACCCTTTAAGCTAGCTTTTGAGGTGATGTATCCCAAGGTTCTTTACGTTAAATAGTACATTAATCCAATGAATTAGGCCACGTGTCCGAGGCAACTGAAGGTATTTTTCCTGACTTTGTAAGCAGAGTTTTATAAGAGACGAAAATAACTGTATAAGCAGATCCCATCACACAAAGGCATACTACAAGCACCCAAAATTGAGTTTATTGTCAACAATCTCTTGATAATATCATATGACAAGTTTTATGGAACAAAACTATTATCAACTACGGTGTCACTATAAAATGAATCGATAAAATGGAGAAAGAAACCTAACACTGTTCCACTCCCTGTGGAATGCATTTGAACTTCACCAGTTGTCTAATTGTTCCTATCTCTATTCATGATAGACGGGTTTTCATCAAGTCAGAACCCATGAGTAAGAAGCAGCAACCTGTGACCTTTCCATTCTTGAAAAGAGCATTCTTTTGCTGCCCGAGTATAAACCAACCCAAGGGACATTCAAAAGCTTTGACTCAACCAATGGCATACAAACTGGAGAAGGCTTAATTAAGTTTTCAAAATTGTAATTGTTTTCTCTATTTTAGGGAGTTATACCAGGGACTATGGGAACAGGTGGCTTGGGTTTCTTTATTTTATCCACCAATATAGCTTGAGTAGTTAGAACCACTCCAGCAACCGAAACTGCACTTTGAAGAGCACACCTTGCAACTCGACTAGGATCTGCTACTCCAGCATTTAAAAGATCTTCATAAATGCCAGTCATTGCATTATATCCAATTCGCCATTCAAATGTTCTAGTCTTCTGGACAACAAAGTCTCCATCAACTCCAGCATTAGATGCGATTGATTTTGCAGGTTCAAGGAGTGCCTGCAATGAATCATGCACAACTGCTTACAAATATGTTAAAGCATTCAATACAAGTTCAAAAGGAATGTTGCCTTTCACAAAACTAGTCCCAATCCTGGAAGAGAAAGCAGTTATAGAACATTCACTATAAACTAAAATCCGTAAGAGAATAAATCTACCGAGAGATGAGAGACAGAGAGAGCTAGTAGACTAAAAAACTATAACCATACCTTCGCCACAATATCTGCGCCAATTTTCTCATCTAAATCCTCCATGGAGTTCCTGATTGTAGGTATCAAGTCCAGCAGGTGGACGTATGTGGCACCCCCTCCAGGAACTATTCCCTCTTTTATGGCAGCAAATGTTGCATTCTTGGCATCCTCAATTCTAAGTTTTTTATCCTCCAGTTCTAGCTCTGTGTGTGCACCTACCTACGCAATTGGTTATTGCATTATGTAGTAAACACTGAGAATGAAAATAATGTTAATACAACAACATATTGTAAGGGGCAAATCAAGAAGGCTAGTAAGTGCCAACTAGCAAGACGACCATGTTTGATAATATAGTGCCATATCCATCATTCTTTTTCTCAAGTTACAAGCAAGATAAAATACATGGTGAATAAATTTATGATCCAATAAAAGCCACAATATAAAAAATCTCAGTCAAGATACTTGAATAGAGTAAGAAATACTGAAGCAACATTAGCAGAGTAAAGAGGCAAGGTGATCAGGTTACAGATAGCAACATTTTATTGAATTACCTACCTTTATAACAGCTACACCACCAGAGAGTTTTGCAATTCTCTCTGAGAGCTTTCTCGACAGGTTTGCATTATCTGTTTCAGTAAGATCCTTCTTAATCTGTAAAATTCTAGCCTGAATTTCAGCCTTAGTGCTTGGATCAGCAATTATAGTTGTCGCATTACTGGTTATTGTCACTTTCAGAGCAGTACCAAGCTGGTCTGATGTTGCACCATCAAGTGTGAGACCCAAGTCTCCAGAAAGAAAATCAGCACCTGTGATATTCATGTCAATATGGTGAGAAATAAGCAGAGCAGAAAAAGTGCATTCATTTTAAAAGATGCAAGACATAAGAAATGTTGTAGGAGAACAAAGAAAGGCCTCCTGGGCAGATTTAAGAAAAAGAAATCAAAATTTTAGACTATCATCATACAGTCACACCCATCAAGAAAGACTCCAAATGTTAACAGCATCCCATACAATATAAACAATTCAAGTCTCAAGATCAATTATGATTTTTATTAACAGTCTACTGAGGTCCTGAAAAATCCCACAAGGTGGATAGTAAATCTTGTCAACTAGCACTAGACAGATATTAAATGAGAAAGTGGCATTGCATTAGTACCCAAGGCAGTCAAACTGCCTAACTAACAAACAAATTGATGAATGAAAACAAAAAAACAATGACATAAGAAGTTTCTTATCACCATACCGATCAGTTTATACTAGCAAAATAAGCAACTATTTGGTGCATAGGCTTCATGAAAATAAACCCTCGGGTAGAGGAAGTTGGCAGAGATATCAACTAAGTTTATCAAATGCTGTAGGAACTCACCTGTCATAAGCGCAATATCTTGTAACAAAGCTTTCTTTGCACCTCCAAATCCTGGACATTTTACAACTGCAACTCTTAGTAATCCTTGCTTTTTGTTCACTACTAATGTTTCCAACACTTGCATTGTGATATCCTCTGCAATAATTAAGAGTGGGGCACTCAACTGCATAGCCTTTTCGAGCACAGGAATGATTTCTTTGACACTCGAAATCTTTTGATCAGTTACCAAAACTTTAGGATGGTCAAACTCCACAATGGACTTCTCTTGGTTTGTAATGAAGTGGGGGGACATGTAACCCTTATCAATCTGTACAGAAAGAATAAACAATGACTATAATTGGGGAAACTGGTAAAACACAAGGACAACAATCATTCAGATCTGAGCAAGAAGAAGAACTAACGCTTGTTATTGGGTACTAGCATTATTATTATCAATACCTTCATCCCTTCTTCAATTATCACGGAGGTTTCAGATGATGAGGATGACTCAATAGATATCACCCCATCAGAACCTATCTTCTCTATAGCTTCGGCAATCAAGTTACCGACATACTCATCATTTCCAGCAGAAATCGAGGCTACAGCTGCAAAAGAGGATGAAGAAATATCTTCAATACTAGATCATGAAGAAAATCCCTTATCTTGACAAAACACAAACAAGCAGAAGCAAAAACCTTTAATATGATCCCTTCCTTCAACAGGAATACTTTTCTTCTTCAAGAATTTGACCAAAACTTTTACAGTCTTTTCCATCCCCTTCTTCAAAGAAATAGGATTAGCCCCAAATGCAACTGCTAACAGTCCAGATTTAATCATAGCTCGAGCCAAAATAATTGCAGTGCTAGTACCATCACCAGCCAAATCATTCATTTTACTTGCAACCTGCAAGCAGGAAAAATATAAACATAAATACATTTCTGGTCATTTTCATCTCAAATTTCATCTATTTAACCCGAGGCAAAACCTAACAACCATGATCAACCTCTTGAATTAGCATGGCACCTGCATTCTCAATTGCATCAGAAAGCTCTATGGATCGAGCAATTGTTACACCATCGTTAATTACTTTAAGCTTTCCAGACTCAGAAAGAATAACATTACGTCCTGCGTGGATAGGAGTAAAATAAATAAGCATGAACAGTCAACAAAAAATTGACTCAAAATCAGTCAAGGGGATCATATAATATTGGGATTTGTATGGAAGCAGTTTCCAGTTCAAATACAGTTAATAGCAATTGTGAACCTTAGTGTTTGTTTGGATCAGCTTATTTTGTGTTCATAATTGAAATCTTCCCGAGACTAAAATCTAATCAAAACCAAACATGAACTTAATCCGTGGAATATTCTGATTCTAGGTCTTGGCCATTGTTCAAGCAAAAATGCAACTGAATTCAATGGAGAAAGAATATAATTGAGATTGATGCAATTCAACAAATAGAATACAATAACAATCACCATTCACCACACCTTCATTATTGCTTTCATGTTCTGTTGATGACTCAGCACTAAGCTGGTCTGAACTGCTGAGAACTAATGCTTGTTAGACTGATAGGCTGTTGGTCTGTTACAACAGTTTCAGACCGTTGTAACAGCTAACAGATTCTGTTAGTTGTCATATGCAGTTAACAACTATCCAACTAGAAAAATATACTCACTGCAGTGTAAATCAAATAATCAATTCATTTTACACTTCTCTCTCTTCGCACTTTCTCTTTTATTTTCTCTATTTTTCTCACACTTTCTGGGGAAGGTCTGATTCTATTACTTACCTTAGTTCATAGTAACACATATAAAGACAATAAAGAGGAGAATAGCCATACCTTTGGGTCCTACGGTAAGAGAGACAGCATCGGTGAGTTTATCAATCCCTACTTGTAAAGCCTCCCTACACTCTTTACCAAATGATATCTTCTTAGGGCCTGCGCTCACCACGAAGTGTGGGTTTTTTCGAACCACATGGTTCCAACGAAAAGGCTGCAACAGTGGAAGATGATTTGAATTTTGAAAGTAAGAAAAGGCATAGACGTTGACGAAACACAGAGTGGAAGCATTGCAAAGAGACTTACTGAGAATGAAAAGAAAGGGTTTCGATTTCGAGGACGCAACACTGAGGAGAGGGACATTGTAATTGTTGGAGCTTGTATTTGCACATTCATCTCCGAACTGGGTACCGCCAATCCTCCCGACACAAAGTGCGTTTTATAATTGTGAAAAACTATGAAGCACACACTTCAAAACAAAAAGTCTGCGTTGTATCCGACATTTTTCGACACTCTCGGATACTCCGACACTCTCTGACACTTCAACACGCGTTATAGAAATTCAAAAAAAGGTTTAAAGGTTGCGTTGCGTTGAATTTTTAGTTCCAACTATTAGATTCGTTGGATTACGATTACTATTTTATTGAGTTTAATATAAATATTTGGGATATCTTATGTTTCTTTGGAAAATTTATGAATATTATAAGTTTAGATTCATTTTTTTGTTAAATTATTGAATATTAAATATAATATACACTACATAAATTAAAAATATTATTTAATATCAAAATGTGTCCTAACATGTCGAAATCTAACATTTTTTAAAATTAACGTGTCGAAGTGTCGTGTCGTATCGTGTCACGTGTCCCGTGTCGATATCAGTGCTACATAGGTGAAAAATACTACTTTCGGGAATACAAAAAAAAAATACTACTTTCGGATGACAAAATAAAAATAAAAAAGGAAAAATATATTAAAGTAAATAACTTTATATCATTTTAAATGAAACGATCCAGGGGCATCGTTTCGGACCGATTTATTAACATGCATATGGTACAAAAGCACAGTGATGGTCCTCAAAAATTGAGAACCATTGATTGTTTAATTGCTCCTTAAATCCGAATTTTTGCTGTAGAATTATTGCTTTACTCCAAGTTTATTCCCACGAGCAGTTTATTGATAAAGTTCTGGAGCACAATGTAATTCTGAAAATTAAGGAGCAGCTGAGTGTAAAATAATTTATTTTGGGCTTAAGAAATTATTTCTCATTTTCAGGATGCCTAATGTCCATTTAGAAGAGGCCCAACTCAGAAATATAGCAAACTTGGAGAGAGAAAAAGAAGAAAGAGAAAAGGGAGACAATAAAGCAAAAATTAGCAGACAACAACACTGTACCAACGTCCTTAGAGCAGAAAGAAACCAACCAGGAGTCGACATGCCAGCAATAGTAAAGAGGAAATGCATGGAATTTCTGCAACACTATATCACCAAAAGTCAGCAAAAGAATAAGGTTTTAGGGCTGACCTGTCATGAGCGATGTCACTAATTGGGGGGAGGAATTGATGAAATCTGCACCTTTGATTAAATCAATGGCCAAGACAACACCTTTAAGGAACCTTTCACCTATAAATACTGAAGAAATAGAGTTTTTCATAAGCTTTGGACACTCTTAGAGAGGACTTATTGTCCTCCTTAGGATTTTCTTTTATTCTTCTATTTTTATTTTCTTTTTGTAAGTAGGTTTTCATTATGCTCCTTAATATGAGCTAAGTTTTTTCAGTAGGCAAGGGTGAAGTAGAAGTACCCCTCTTTGTCTTAGGTTGAACTTGTATTGTTTTCTCTAATGAAATGTGTGTGTTTCTTGGTTTAATGTTCCAATATTATCCCTTGGTTTGCAACCTCATCCCAGGATCACCACTGATATGTGTAAATCACTTTTACTAGTGATCCCTTCAGCCATGCTTTTTTGAGAAGGCAAAAATAATCTCCCTTGAGTTTCAACTCGAGACTCCTCAAGTATCTTGGAGCAAATACAACTGTTTTGCCTCAACTTACTTACAGACCAAAATGCGAAGATGGAGCAATCTATCTCCATAGTCTGAAAGGATGCTGGGAGCACATTTTGTTTTTGAAAACCTATGACATTGTAGGAACGACCAAGAAGGCGAAAATACCAACCTAAGCCTACGACTTTTTAGTCTTGAGTCTTTGTTATTTTATTTCTCTTTTGTTACTTATTTGATAAACATAAAAATTCCAAAAAGAATGATTGTTTTGCTATCTGTTTCTATCACTGCTCTCATTATTACTGTTGCTCTTGATTTCATTTGCTTTTTGTTCTGTTGCTTTCAACTCCCACGTTTTCCAAATTCCTTCAAGGCAAGCTTCAATAAAACTTAAGGGAGAAATCCAGTTCTTAGTCACTCAGATCCTTTAACTCTGTTCAACCAATTGGAGAGAAGTTCTTGTTAGCTAACCTTGGTTTGAGAACGAATTTGCTCCTTGAAGCAAATTTCTCCTTACTTACTGTTTGCTCTCAATTTTTCTTTTCTTATTTACACTTCTTTTAAAAGAAACTTTCGTAGTTGTTCCCTGAGGACGATAATTTGTGGCTCATAATAGACCCTATATTACTTGATGTGTACGCTTGCGCAGTTTTGTTAGATTTTCTCTTCATATAATTAATTGCTCCTTGGAAAGAATAGTTGCTCTGCACCCCTTTTGCTCCCATATTTTCCTGAGCACATCTCGGCCTAACATGCAGAAAAAAAAGTAAATGCTTAAGCGGAACACTTAAATCAAAGTTTTACTATTAGTCTATTAGTGAATTAACTTTTGCTTTTCCTCTTTCCTAATGTATTGCATCGCATATAACTTTCCATAATACTTTTAACTGTACAGCTCCATATTTGCATATCAATCTTAATTAAATTTCTGTAGACCTGATCAATGACTATCCAGGTACGGTAACTCATACTATCCCTGATATAGTTTAACAGGCAGCATCTTCGCTGTAAGCTGGACAACTCAAGGATAATATCCCACAACATAATATACCTGAAACTCAGATAATGGCTACGTGCCACACTTACACAATCTAACATATCATGTACATGTTCACATAAATATCATGTACATGCTTCAAGTACAACTGAATACGTCATATATGCTTACATGTCTCTCAAAACACATAACATACATCATGTGCATGATCATACATAATGCTACAAAATAAGTACAGTCATCCCAAAATAACAATCTCCAACAGCTATGGGTGCTCTAACCCTGAGTGGGCCTCTTGCTCTGTGGAAACTATCTTGCTGCTGGAGTACCTGAAACATGTCCCCAAACGAGGTGAGATTCAACATCTCAATAAACTCAGGGTTTATGGAGAACTCTCCACTCATGAATTCATTTCCTGCATGAAAGGTCAGATACATAGTATATCAAACATCATATACATATATCATAATACACATGAGACTTCTAGGAGCTTGGATCCTCCCACAGATAGTCTTAGTATAACACATCATAGAATTGAAACACATAATTATAGTTAAAATAAGGACTAAAGAGTATGATTAGTGAAAATCTTGAGTTTTGGGTCAAAATACGTAAAAATGATAAAATGATAAATTAACAAATACGTAACCCTAAACAGTGAAGTGTTAGTAGAAGGTCTCAAATGGAAAAAATAACCTTGGAAATGGACTCATAACGAAAAATTGAATGGTTAGGCAAGTTTATGGAGATTTTATAAATAGTATTTTTTCCGGATGAAAATACAGCGGTACAGTTGCATCGAATAACGTGCCGAGTGAAATTTGAGCTCTAGGTTTGAATATAAGTTGGAAAAGGTACTTAGGACTAAGAAATATAATCGTTGATAAAGTTTGATGAAATTTATGGTTTCTGGGAAAACGTGCCAACGGTGCACATATCAAGCTAAAACAGTGATTTTATCGAATAACCGGAAAATTCTGGATTCATTTGTTAAAGGGCAGTTAAAGGACTTTGGTGAATGTTAAATTTTGAATTTTATAAATAGTTTAGGAATTAATTGGAGATTAGTGGTTTAAGTGGGAGATTTGAAATAATTTGAATTGGGTGATGTGTCAAGTGGGACCCACCTAACTTAAGTGACTTAAGAACACGTTATACATTATTCATTGTAACGCCCGACCGCTTCAAGAATCAATGACTATCCCCACATACTAACACGAGACTTTTCAGTGTGCTTTTTTCTCACTCGCACACTTCCCGGGAAAACTTTCCAGGAGGTCACCCATCCCAGAATTACTCCAAGTCAAGCACGCTTAACTTGTACCCCCGTCCCTAGAAGCCTGCCAGGAGCCGCTCCTTGTTTATGCGCTTTCGCACCATACCCTTTCGCACCTGCGATCACTTCCCGCCCTTGTCAGCGCCCGGGATGTTACATGCCCACCAGCTTCCGCCTGGTTCGTCCTCGAACCACACCGTACTGGAAGAGAAGCCCTGCTCTGATACCACTTGTAACGCCCGACCGCTTCAAGAATCAATGACTATCCAGAGAAGCCCTGCTCTGATACCACTTGTAACGCCCGACCGCTTCAAGAATCAATGATTATCCCCACATACTAACAGGAGACTTTTCAGTGTGCTTTTTCCTCACTCGCACACTTCCCGGGAAAACTTCCCAGGAGGTCACCCATCCCAGAATTGCTCTAAGTCAAGCACGCTTAACTGTGGAGTTCTTTCGATCCGAGCTACTGAAAAGTATATGCATCTTGTTAGTATAGGTAGTACCAATTAATTCTTATAAGCCATTCCCAACTGTACCGTCCCATACCAGAACAGTCTCTGGAATCTGTAACACCCCAAATTCTAACAATTTATAATAGCATAAATAATTTCAATAATTTTTTTTTGTAAATAACAGCGGAAGTTCAAAATAATCAAATTTGGAAAGTGTTACCGCCGCACTTGTACTATGGACAGGTGCAAGGCTAAATTTATTACATTAAAAATAAAACCAAAGACTAAAGTTTAAATAAAGGAAATATGTCTTATGCATTTATTTAAATCTCATAAAATTTCTAAACTTAGAAACTAGCTAGAAATATCTGAGTCGTGATCCTGATTGTCCACAGCTAGCCCCATCCTTTGCAACATGCTTCACTGGAAATCTGCTCCCCCGTGAAGGATCATTGCAGTTAAACAAACACAAAAGTCAGCAAAGTTGGTAATCCAAATCCGATATACAAAAATAAATAAATAAATAAACAAATAAAAATGTAACTCATAATAATCCAATAAAATAATATAACTCAAAAATTCAAATCAAATATCAAGTTGTTATTAATTCTATTAATCTTTATTTAATCCATTTAGTCTATTTAGTGGGAAG